CCTTGGATGGCAACTGGTCTAGGAGAAGGAAACATCTGAATTCAAACCTGCTCTGAGATGGGAGGGTGAATGGAGGCTTCTGAGCCTTGGTTGGCAATCCATTTATTTTTGGTCTCACGATAAAAAAACACCCTTTGATAGGACCTTCAATAAAACCATCAAAATTCAGAAATTAAACAAGATTTCAAAACAATAATTCAAATTTGTTAAGTATTGGTGAGTTCAATCTAAAATGAGGCCACAAGATGATGATCGTTCAAAACATCGTCTCCAATGAATATAAACCAATCACACACAACGTCTTAGATTTCAAAAAAACGAGTTATGACTATTTAATTGCCGGAATGAATTTAGAATGTTCACATCCAGAAACACCCCAACTTTGGTTTCCTTAAGACGAAGACTAGCGGTGGAAAAAAGGGACCAATGTTCATGTTATACTGTTTGTTTTAAAAAAACGAGTCAAAAGAATAAAAATATTAGCGGATTAACATTTCGTTTTATATGAAATTGATAATAAAAATATTTAAAGGATGGCTTTAGACAAAGTCATGGAGAAATCAAATGTTTTCTGAGTGTCACAGGAACGGTGTTGCACTAGGACGCACGAAGATCGCTGTCAAAAACAGAAAGAGCAGATGGCAGTGCGGACTGGGTGAGAACACTTTTGCCCTCGGATCACAGATTAAATATTCGGAACAACTAAATCAAAATAGAAAAAGATTGCGGTAGATTCTAACAGAGGATTTTTTGGAAGAATTGACGCGTTCGGAGTTCTCGAGTTTCTGGCTAAGAAGTCATTACAAGAATGAGCTATCCACTTTACTCACCAAACCCTGCGTTTTAGTTCCAAAATGGAAAAGTGTCAGGAAAGGGAAACAAAAAAAAAAAAAAGATTTGTTCGTATCCCCGACACTTAGCAACACGTGAAAGCCTTACAACACTAAGGATGCTTCCAGCAATGAAACCATTATCTCACAAAGTGCGTAGCTTTACAAAACGAGTTTTTGAATGTGACAGCAGCCAGCAGTTACCAGGTAAGCAAATTTATCATAATGCCATACCGGAAATTATCACACTTTGTACGTTTATCCGATTAAGGCCCAGCGACCGTCCTATTTGTTGTTATAGGCAGAAGTATATAAATAAAAATGACTTCTTATAAACCTGTAATTAATAACAAGTTCTCTATAAACTTCTAATTATTAACAGCTTTATATTTTTATTTTCTGTTACATATCTATATGTCCACCATTCCTCTATGCTTAGAATATTAGTACACTGTTCCTGATATTTATCTATATCTCCTTGATAAAATTCAACGAAGAATCGGGAATATTATTTGCGTCTGGCGTCTCGAGTCCAGTAATTTTCCATCGCCGTAATTTTTTTTCCATCGCCTTTTATATTAATAGTTTCATAATAATTATTCATAGCTCTTCGCTATAGTGCCAAGACTCTTTGAATTTAAGCGCAAAACCAGAGTGCAGACAAGTTACAGTTGAGCTAGCTATATGTAAAAACCAACATATTCTAATTTGTTTCTTCTGACATATATCATCCGGTGAAAGGATGGACTATTGATATGTTTTTTCACCCAGCTTTAATGGCAAAAAATTTAAATTTAATGAAAATCGCCATTCTGTCCCCTGATTACTCTCTTTTATCTCGCTCCTAAGCAATGCATTTGTTTCCAATCATTCCATTCCCAGTAACACCTCGTCCTGGGTATGACGATAAACTACATCCGCGTCCTGGGTAAGACTATAAACTACATCCAACAGCAAGGCCTCTGATCAGGAGGTTTTGAGGAGCGTTGGACCCCCTCTTAATTGCTGGTGTGCCCGGGTCCACCCTGACCCGGGGTGGTAGCACCTGTTAGAGTCCCAGCTATGGGCAAATAGTTAACCTCGAAACTGAGGTAAAAGCATTATAAAAGTGTGAAAATAGGTTTTAATACCAGAAATACTTTGTAAAAAATTATTACCTGAAATAAATCTTTGAAGAAAAATAACTATTACAAGCAATATGTTTTTGGAAAAAAAACATTACTAGCAATACATGTTTTAAAATAATATTACCTGCTATACATTTTTGAGGAAATAAATATTACCAGAAATAGATTTTTGACAAAAAAAAATATTACCAGGAAAAAAAGTTGTCGGCATTGAATAACCTATTGAATGTTAATATGCCGTAAAACACAACAGACTAAACTAAACCTAATAACACCATTGCATCGGGTGAACTCGATTAAATAATAATAATAATAATAATAATGAATACCGGATATTATAGTGGATATTAATAAGTTAATAGATTCTAAATGAAACAGAGTTACTAAATTCTGTAGCCTTTAAATTTATGGCATATATTCAAATTTTTGCGAAATAGATACATTGATATATTTATATCCCCAAATAAACTATCCTTGAAATAGTAGAAATATGATCTAGTTTCAGTAGTTATAGCAGACGAAAATCCTAATCATTATTGTTTTCATCAAGAGCTAAAAGGAGAACGCTTCAGATGTTCTTAAATGTATTGTTGTATCTGATGATCTTCAAGGAGTTTTGAAGGCAGAAATTATTTTTCTTCCGTCTCATATGTTGTTTTAATCTCTTGACTTTTATTTTGTACTGCGTCCTTTATAGCAAGCTGGACTCGCAATTTCTTCATTATGACAATTTAAACCTTTGGGCGTTTCTACGTATCCAATGAGAAGTTATTTTCATGAACCGCCAAATCTATGGAGTGTATTGACTACTACAGCGGATGACATAGTTAGGATGAAAAAACGTAATAGATCAAATAGGAGCTGATATTGAAAATCTACTCATAATCCCTTCACCGCAAGCAAGCCAATAAAGCCACTAAGACGCAAGGTTTTACATAGTGTAACTGGATATGAAAAAAAAATATTAAGGAGGGGAAACAACAAAAAGACATAAGATAACGATTGGAACTGCATTTAAATTTTTGAAGTTCAAGGTTAACTGGAAATTAAAAAGCTGAAAGAGAATTCCACAAGCGAGAAGTGCGAGAGAAGAAACTGTTAACATAGAACTTACGGTTCCATCTAGCCATTTCAAATGTAAATCTAGTACTGCGCTTAAATTCATAAAGTCTAGTTACCATTGAGGAAAGTTCTTTAAAACAATTACCTTGAAAATAATTATAAAAAAGTTACAGTTGGGGAGGAACATTATGGCTGTGGGAAAGTGAGTGAAGCTGAGATGTCAGTTTAGTACCAATAACATTTCATATTATTAATTATGTTTTATCTAGAATCTCTAAAAACGTAGCAAAATCACCAGACATATGTGACAGCAATATTTAATATATGGAAGAAATATATGTGTAAGATAGATTATAGCGAGAAAATTGTCTCGCACGACAAAGTGAATCAACTTTCCTTTCTTTCATTGTGTCAATATAATCTTTTCACTTCATGCCAGCGGAAATCGTTAGCCCAAGAAAGCACCGTGAGTCACTCCCCTGGAGATTAGTGTTTGCTATGCTCATGTAATTAAAAAAAAAGGTTCTTTCAACTCATGAATGTTACTGTATACAGCATATATATGAGAATATTTGGTGAAAATCGGTTCAAATTATCTGAATAAGGCAGGAAATATGCAGATAATAGTTTTAGAAATCACTGAATAATAAGTTTCAGACATCAGTATAATGTTTAAGGCAATAATGACTGTAGTATTCGGAATAATTCAATAGAAATTGTAGGCATATTAATTCATTAAAGCCTTCTAAAGGTCTCACGTCTTCTTGTTATCACTTCACTGAATACCCCTAAGAATAAGCAGCGGAACAAGTATAACCAGCCTTTATAGATTAAATAAAGGGTTTAGTTAGGAATTTGCTGTTGATCACTCGGGTCGATATACACCTGAAGAAACCCGGTTGGTACGATGGCCGAAACGTTGTAATAACAGCATACATGAGGACAATATTTCGAATGTAAATAGTGCAAATAACATAATGTGTTTGTTTCTAATGCAGCGTTATGTAAAACTTGATCAATGCTTTATTTCATGTTTATACTCTCATTGCGCCTGATTATTGTCCCAGTTATGAATCTGTGAAGTGTAGTGTTGACAATGAATTGTTAATGTCTTTATATCTGAGAATAGCGGAACGATTACTATCGCGCAAAGTAGAAGCGACATCTGGAGTTCAAATACCAAATGCCTGTAGTGTTTATTTTCGCACTACTAATCTCGGAAAAAGCAACTCTTCTCTCCCCTCACATGTATGAGGATAATAGCATTGTAAACTCGACTCACTATACTTGAGTAGAAACGAGTCGAAGAGATGAGAAACTCTGAATTGCAAACCGTGGAAAAGCGAAAAAGAAACCATTTTATATGCTTCCCAAGAAGACATGGTAATGGAGGGCCCTGATAGTCTATGTTCTGAGTGATTGCATGTATGGTTTTGGGTCTTCTGACGTATGCCGTATTCAATTACTGTGAGAGTGTTTCGAAATAAAGACTTCTTCGTACAAGTGTTATGTCTTAATTATCTTTAGTTTTGTGCTATTCTGTTTTCCTCTTGTGCAAGGAACTTATAAAACATACTAATCTTTATTTATTCAACAGAACATTTCTCTTACGTGTTAATTCACTACACATTCAAGTTTTTCGAACAAAATAAATGTATGAAATTTTCCGGAAATCTGACCAGCTGAACTGAAATGTAGAAAAAGTTAAGAAAGAAAGAAAAGGAAAAATGTAAAGAAAAATTGAATAAAAGATCAAAGAAATACAAAACGAACAAAAAATAATGTCAGTTAAAAATAAAGTTAACAAAGGCAAGAACGAAAGAAAGAATGAATGAATATAGAGCGTTTGAAAAGAAAGAAAGAAAGAAAGAAAGAAATATAAAGAAGATAAATGTATAGAATTCCTGAGGAAAGAAGGAAAGAGTAGGGACGAGGAATAAAGAAAGGAAGAAAAGAAAAGAAAAGAAAGAAAATGTAAAAGTTAAAGAAGAAAAGAAGTAGAGTACAGGTTCGAGGAAGAAAGAAAGGAAGACAGATATACAAAAAGAACGAAAGAAAGAAAGAAAGAAAGAGAGAGAGAGAGAGAGAGAGAAAGAGACTGACAAATGTAGAGGGTAAAGAAGAAAAGTAGTAAAGTACAGGGAGGAGAAAGAAAGAAAAAAGAAAAAAAAGGAACAATCAACAATTTAAAAGATAAAGAAGAAATGAAGTGCAGGGAGGTAAAAGAAAGAAAGAAAGAATGTATGAAAGAAAGAAAGAATGAAAGAAAGAAAGAAAAAATAAAGAAAGCGAAATATATAAAGCAGAAACAAAATGGAGGTCAAAGAAATAAAAAAAAAAGTAAGATTATGAATATCAAATAGAAAATAATAATGGAAACCAAGAAAAAAAAAAGATAAATATATACAGTTTTTGACGAAGGAAGCCTACAAAGGCAGACACAAAGAAAGAAAATGTGTTAGAAAGAAATAAAATATTACATTAAAATTATTATGAAGTGAAATAAAGTAACAATGTACAGAGAAAGATTAAAGAAAAAATATTGACAAAAAAGAACCAGATGTTTTGATGCCGTTCTGAAAAACATACAATATATTTGCTCAATATATTTACATGATTGTCTCTAATTACAGCGTTATAGGGTTTAATCCAAATTGTTATAGGTTTAACATTTTGCATTTTGGATGAAAGAGAAAATAGAAATAATTCTCTTTCTGAACTCTAAGCCGCTGATTTTTCATTTGTTCCTTGGTGCCGGGTTTATAGGGAAACTTAAATAAGGATAACTGCTTCCAGATTTGCTGAGGAAACTCACTATTACATTTGTCCTTTCTCATTTTCTTTTTATCTTGTTTTTGCGTTATCTTTTACCTGTTATGAATGTTTAGCCTCTATTAATATCCGAATAAATAATATAACACAGTCTTAATAGAGATGCTGAATCAAGGAGGATGACCAGTACGATACGAATACAAAAGAAAATAGTATATTAAGAGAAAATTGTGGTAGATGCAAAGCAGAATATGACTTGTATGCCTTCTCAGTAAACTTTACTGCGAGGCCATACTGAGAGAACTAGAATGATTTATTATTAGTGGAAACAATTATAGCAACATTAAATATGAAAATGAGAGTGTTGATCGCAGACAAAAAAGGAAACAGTAAAAAAATTCCTACAGAAGGTAGCACAGGAAAGTGAAGAAAAAATGACTAAACATAAACTGTAACAAGATAGAATTCCACCAAAATTGTCCATATCATGTAACAACATAATTGTCCATCCCCCAAAATATTTGATATATATATATATATATATATATATATATATATATATATATATATATATATAAACACTTAACTAATTAAGTTTTTTTTTACAGGTTTTCAGATAAAACTTTCAGCAATCTTGACACAATTTTTCGTAAGAATCATTGAAAAGCCCTTTGAGTTATTCAGCTAGAGAGAGAACAAGAGAAAATCGTTTTGTGTTAGCCCCAGAATGCTTTCCCAATGAGAAATGTTAAGAGGAAAAAGATCGTTCAGACTTTTAGTAGCAGTACCAAAATTTATACTCTAGCTTCCGTCTTTAAATTAAACTCATGAACCATCAAGAGAAAGGTGAGTAAGTCTAAAAAGAGGGAACAGTAGAGAGGAAAACTGGATGGGCAGGTCACAACTTAGAGATAAAGAGATCGATTAGAAAAGATACAAGTCCACCCATAAAAATTTGGCACATGAGAGAGGAGTATCAGCTATGAGAAGCCCAAAGACAAGGGAAAAAAAGACTTGAAAATGAACACATACGTGAAACCTTGTTATTCCAGGACAGAAAATAAGAAGTTTAAAAAGGGCGAAGATGATCATGTATAAGTTGGAAAATGATTCTCGAATATATATATATATATATATATATATATATATATATATATATATTTGAAATTTGTTTCAATTCTTCATCAGATTCCGATCCTTAGGCGTGATTAATTAATGATGAACATGTCATTTTCGTTTATGAACGATTTCATCGTTATGCTTCTATTAAATTTGGAGATTAATTATTCTTATTGCTCAAAGCAGAGTACAATAGTGTTATAAAAACCTCGGAGAATTCCAGTAAGATATCTTTAATCAATTCTAAGATAAAACGGTTCAGAGCTTAATTTAAGAAATGGACGATTTTGCTTTTACACGATTTGGACAATGTTGCTATTACAAGAGAAACAGCCTAACATTGAAACCACGAATTGAAGATATTAAAATGAAGCAAGTACGAACATTTAAATATCTGGGGTGTGTTTTGTCAGAGGACGAACATTGTGATACCAAAATCCGAATACGTATTTGAAAATAGAATGTTGACTTCCAAAAAGTAAAAGCTAAGTACTAAAAAATAGGATGATTTCGTTAGAAACTAAGAAAAGAGTGTTGAACTGTTGTTTAATATCGGTTCTCCAATATGGAAGTGTATGCTGCACAATGTT